CAAATTGTGGACTCGGAATATTTCTTAAACTCTACTATTTTTCCAGATTTCTTTAATTCTTCTAACAGTTTTGTTTTCCTGATTTTGTGTTTTAACACAGTAACGCTCACATATATATGTATATATATGTGTGTGTGTGTATATATATATATATATATATACACACACACACACACACACTCTCTCTCTCTCTCTCTCTCTACATTACTACTACTACTATTGTATTAGGAAGAAATTACTCTCCAATTTGAATTGATAGTTTTTTATTTTTTGTTTTTTTTGTTTTTTTTATTATAAAATAATTTTAAACACCCAGCTTAAAACTACTCCCCAATTTGAAGCGTAGAATACTCTCTCTCTCCTACTACTACTATTATTACTACTGTATCAAGAAAAAATTATTTTCCAATTTGAATTGGTAGTTTTTTATTTTTTTATTTTTGTTTTATTATTGTAAAATAATTTCAAAACTACTCTCCGACTTGAATGAGTAAAATATCTTTTTGTATTTTCATTTTCTATTGATTTTATATATATATATATATATATATATATATATATATATATATATATATATATATATATATATATATATATGTATAAACTCTCTNGTAACAAAATCCGTGTTTTTTTTTTTTTGGTGGAAGTGTATATGTATATATATGAAAAACTCCACTTTCATTTCATCAATTCATACTCTTCTGTGTTCACACAATTGAATATTTTCCTCTTTCATACTTCAAATACTTTCACACCTGAAAAACAAAAAAGAAAATCTCCATTTTTAATGGATTTAATCTCTCCTTTCTCATTTCCTACACAACAAGAAGATTTTAATTTTCCTCCTAATTCCAATTTCTTCACCTTCTTTCAAGAACTTGACTTTCCAACTTCTTCTAATCCATCCCTACCCAAAAAGCAAAAAATTCAAGATTTTGATCACAACCCAGTTGAGAATATTCTAAACAAATTTCTGGGGTTAGAAAAAAATCAAGAAAAAACTGACACACAAGTACTAAATTTGTGTTGTGAGCCTATAGAATTCGGGAAAAATTCCCCCGTTTTGATGAATGATACAGTGGCTATGGCTAGTAAAAAACGTAGTCGTGAAAAGTCAGGTGAGTTGATTTCAATTCCACAAGATTCTCAACCTTTACAACAAAGAAGATTATGGGTTAAAAACAGGTCAAATGCATGGTGGGAACAATGCAACAGTCCAGATTTTCCAGAAGAGGAATTCAAGAAAGCTTTTAGAATGAGCAAAGCTACATTTGATATAATATGTTGTGAGTTGGAATCAGTAGTTACAAAAAAAGATACAATGCTACGTCTGGCGATACCTGTTCGCCAGCGCGTAGCAGTTTGTATTTGGAGATTGGCCACGGGTGCACCACTTCGCGAAGTTTCTAAGCGATTTGGGCTTGGTATATCCACGTGTCATAAGCTCGTGCTAGAGGTTTGCACCGCGATAAAAGGCGTATTAATGGCGAAATTCGTACAATGGCCTAACGACGAAAAGATGACAGAACTAAAACAAGAATTCGAGTCCATTTCAGGTATACAAAACGTAGGTGGATCAATGTGCACAACACACGTCCCGATTATAGCACCAAAAGACAGTGTCACAGCTTATTTTAACAAAAGACATACTGAGAGAAATCAAAAAACTTGTTATTCAGTAACCATACAAGGAGTTGTTGATCCAAAAGGAATTTTCACGGATGTTTGTATTGGCTGGCCTGGTTCAATGACAGATGATCAAGTCCTGGAAAAATCAGCTCTTTTTGAAAGAGCAAACAGAGGACTTTTAAACGATCTTTGGGTTATTGGTAGTTCAGGATTTCCGTTATTAGATTGGATATTGGTCCCGTTTTCACACCAGAATTTAACATGGACGCAACACGCGTTTAATGAGAAAGTTGAAGAGATTCAAAGAGTAGCGAAAGATGCGTTTATGAGATTGAAAGGTAGATGGAGTTGTTTACAGAAGAGAACAGAAGTGAAACTTCAAGATTTGCCTGTTGTGCTTGGAGCTTGTTGTGTTTTGCATAATATATGTGAAATGAGAGGTGAAGAATTAAGTCCAGAATTAAGGTTTGATTTGTTTGATGATGAAATTTTACCAGAAAATATTGTGAGATCAATGAGTGCATTACAGGCTAGAGATCAGATTGCTCACAAGCTTTTGCACCATAATTACTCAGGCACCAATTTTCTTTAAATGAAACTTTTGTTTACATTTTTAATCAACTTTTTGTATTTCTGATGCTGAGGTGTAATTTTTTTTCATGGCTTATTGCAAGTCATGTTATAGAATAATTTTAATGAATTTTTACTCTTCATAGAAGATTTGTTCTTTTTTTTTTTTTCCAAGTAAAGGATTGTTTAGGATTAATTTCACGAGTTCGAGCCGTGGAATCAGCCACTAATGCTTGCACCATGGTACACTGGCTACATCATATCTGTTGGGGTGCGACCGTTCCCCAAACTCTGCGTGAATGCAGAATGCTTCATGCACCAGGCTACCCTTTTTTTCTTTTTTTTTTTTTATCAAAGAAATTTTGCAAAAAACAGTTGGAAGTTTTCCCTTTGAATTATATATCTTTTACTTCTTTTTTTGTTTATAATTCTTTTTTGTGTGTTTGTAAATTATAGTATATTTTTAAAAAATTAATACCTAGACATACAATAAGTCGACATCAGCTGAAAAAATACAAATAAATATTATTTGAGATAGGTAACTAAACATAAAAATCAGTACAATCCTAACTCAAGCTCAAGTACAAATCGAATTATAATAATAGATGGACGTGCAAGTCGAATTATGATATTGATACCATTTGTACAAAATTGTACATTTCACAATTTATTGAACCCCACTAACTTTTAAATTGATCTTTGTAAGTTACTAAGATTTTTATTGACCTCATTAATAGCCTCATGTCCCATTGGGGACCTTGGGGTGCAATGAAGTTGACTTGCTTAAGTTCATTTTACTACTCTGATTCCACTTATTCCTAATTGTCTTTAGGGGTGTACAAATCGAATCAAAAAATTGCATCAGTCAAATCAAATCGATTAAAAAACCATATTAGGCTTGGTATTGAATAAACTCGAATCAAACCGACATATAAATATATAGTGTTTATATATACTTTTAAGACTTTATATAGAATTTTTTTTAAAGAAATATCTAGAAATATTTGGGATTCTCTCATAGGGATGTAATCCCTCCGTTCACTTTTACTTGGCATGTATACTAAAAATAGATTTCATTTTTACTTGTCACTTTACGCATATCAAGAGAAGACAAATTTTTTCCTGTTATACACATAGTATTTATTACTCATTTCAAATCATTTTCTCAAATCCAATAAAATATGCATCAATTAATATGGGTATCATGGTGAATTATGCACTTCATTTATTATTTCTTAAGGGACATGAAAAGTCAAAACGTGCCAAGTAAAAGTGAACGGAGGGAGTAATATTTAATAGAATCATGAAGTGCATTCATTTTTATTTATTTTAAATAATGGGTTGTATCACTTTCTTATCAAGTGTTGTTGAAATGGGTCAATCATCTCTTTGTTCTTTCATATTCATATGTCAAGATTTCTTATATCTTTTTTCAAATTTGAAGTGGTATTTTGATAATTTAAAATTAAATAGAATATATCATTATTTAGGTGACATATTATTTTTTATGTTTAATTATTAAATTCGGTAAACCTTTCAAGTATACGTCAACGAAAAATTATTGTTAGACAACTAAGAAAATAACTATCATGCGATACTAAAAATTCCCCCGTAAGAATATTTTAATAGATCATATGTTTGTCAATTTTTTCAATTTTAGTAAACATATATTCACTTATCAAAACTTAATCTATAACTTTAACAAAGTAAAACTGATATAATATTCATGTAACAAAAAACCCCCAAAAACCCAGACAAAATCGAACTAATCCAAACTGTTATAGTTGATTTGGTTTGATTTTGATAAAACCCGAACTAACCTGGTCCATGTACAACCCTAATTATCATAGATTATATTCTGTATCTAGAGCTAGTAGATCCACAACGAGTGTAATCTTATTACGCTTCAATTGTACTCGTAGAATTTGAACAACATTTTCGATATAAAATGTAGATATATGTGCAAAAAAATCACTAGAATTTGAAAATTATATTTTAAACTCATATCTTCTAAAGTACAATAGAGTCTATGATGAAATTCTAAAAATTAAATCCATCAAATTAAAATTTTAGACGGTAAAATTGTCTCAGTGTGACCTATATATTACGGGTTTGAGCAGTGGAAACAATCACTAATATTTGCATTAGGTTAAGTTGTCTACATCACGCCCTTCAGAATGCTGTCCTTTCCCGGATCCCGCGTGAACGCGAGCTGCCCTTTTTCTTGAAATTAAAATTTTAAATCAATTCAAACAAGAAAAATGGCTAAGCTTATGGGCAAGAATTAGTAGTCTATTTTCTATGGGTTTTCAAATGTAATGCTAGCGTCATGATGAGGATATCAACAGTTCTTGTCATTTTCCTCAATAATTTGTTGACCTTAGAATAGACTGACAGATGCAATTTGGTCGAAGTTGACTGGATCTCATAATCCAAAAAAGCATAACTGTTTTGACTGTCAAACAAATATATTTAATGTGAAATTTAAAATTTAGTTATCAAAACAAAAAAGTATAACCAACTCTAATCATGCTTTAAGCATATCTAAGAGGAAAAATGACGATAATTTGAAATCTTGCATAAAAATAGTCTGATTACGGATCATCTGAATATTAATTATTATAGAAAGAATTGATACATATGATTCATAAAAGTGAAAGCATATTATTGATTGATTAACAAAAATAAGTTAAAAAGAGAAATGGAGGAAAATTTTCGAAGCTCTAAAATAAATTAACATACGTTCTATATGTGAGAATCCATAATTTTCAATTTTTATATTAATTTTAGTGATATGCACTTTGAGAGGAAATGACATATCAAAAATTCTAGGCCAACTTTTTTGTTATGTCTAAATTTTTTTCTATCATGTCTTGCATCAACTTTCAAATATAATGCGTACCACAATGAATAAAAGGTGTTAATAGAGTGATGGGTGTGTGCAGAGGACGAGGTAGACTTAAAATTATAAATAAAGAAATTTGTCTCGAAGACTCACAATTTCTAATGATTTGTAAGCGCAGCAAAAGATAAAACACATTAAAAAAAAAAAATTATAGAATGGGAACATATTAGTAGAGGATATATTTTAGATGGCATTTTTACTATAGGTTTATACCGGGATGTGATATGATTTCGAAGAATGACCCAGATGTGGATAGTTTCAATAAAATTTCATTCTTGAACAAAAAATTATTTTTTTAATTTATTTCATCTATTCCATGATCGTAATACAATTTTAAATTAGAACAGAGATTATAAGACATGGCAAATCTATATTGAAACTTTGTAGCTCAATATTGAAGCTAGAGAGAATGTATTCCTCTTACTCTGATTTCTCCTTTCAGTCCCTCTTTTGCTCACCTCCATAGTTGACCTCCATTAATATGGTATCAGAGTTCGGTGACATTACCTGGTTAAGCAATTAGGAGAAGCTAGGTGCGAAGAGAAGTAAGTGGAGAATTTTCACAAATTGAGCTCGTATTCAAATCTATGACCTAAGGTGATTATTCCTCTTTCTCTTTCGCGATTGTTCCTCTTTGAAAGGATCTCGATTCACTATAAAACTTCAATCTCGATTGTCGTTTTTTGGAAGATTTGTTATTTGATTACTGCAATAACTATCGAGGAAAGTGTATCCTCTGCCCCAGTCACTCCAACACTACACGATCAAAATGTAGACCTAGTTCATCACAATCACTCTCTCTATATTCATTCGTCTGATACACAAGGTGCAGTTCATCACCTTGTGTATCCTCTACCCCAGTCACTCCAACACTACACGATCAAAATGTAGACCTAGTTCATCACAATCACTCTCTCTATATTCATCCGTCTGATACACAAGGTGCAATTCTTATTTCAATTCAACTTCGAGGTTTTGAAAATTATTCATTGTGGAGTAGATCTACGAAAATTGTATTATATGGTAAAAACAAACTAGGTTTTGTGTTAGGAACCCGTAGAAAATACATGTTTGATCCTAGCTTACATGAGTTATAGGATAGGTGTAATGCTATTGTGCTGGCCTAATGAACACTGTGGCCACAAATTTACTTAGTTCTGTGATATATTGTCATGACCCGAATTTCCCGCCGTCGGGACCGTGATGACACCTAATATCGCACTCGCTAGGCAAGCCAACGTTAGAGTTCTATTCACCTTTTTCCTTTATATTTTATAGTTAAAATTAACAAAGCTAAATCAAACTGAAATAAATGTGGAAGTACATAATAAACCGGTTATCTATATACTGTTAACAATATCAAAACTGTTATCACCCAGAAACTGGTGTCACAATCCACGAGCATACTACGAATTACTACAAATACCGGTCTGAAAGAAATTACATTTGTCTTGAAAGAAAAGAAAACAGAAATGTAGAAGCATAGGAGGGGACGCCAGGGCCTCCGGACGCCAACAGGACTACCTTGGGTCTCCTAGATGATTTGCCTGCAACCGACCTCTCGATCAGCCACAACCAGCTCCAAAATCTGCAGCAAGTGCAGAGTGCAGTATCAGTACAACCGACCCCATGTACCGGTAAGTTCCAGCCTAACCTCAATGAGGTAGTGACAAGGCTACGGCAAGGCATTTACAATATAACCTGCATACAGTATATAATAAAGCAAAAAGGAAGTACGGAACGAAATGAAACAGTAACTTGCGGCAAAAATAAATACGGAACTCAATTATCTTGCCAGTACTCAGCTATAACCAATCCTTAAGAGAGTTACAAAATTACAGAATAAACTCACAGCAGAAGAAGAATACGTAAACAACAAAATGATACGGCTCGCATCCCGATCCCACCATATAATCAGTAATAATATGAACATTCACCCTTATTACTCCTGTTGCGGCATGCAACCCGATCCCACCAATCCACCCTTATTACTCCTGTTGCGGCGCACAACCCGATCCCATCGTACAGTAACAATCCACCCTTATTACTCCTCAATATGTCACCATTATTCCTGCTGTTGCGGCGCGCAACCCGATCTCACCAAACAATCACATTTCACCTTTATTCCTCCTCAATATATCACCCTTATTCCTCATGTTGTGGCGTGCAACCCGATCCCACCATGTCAGTACCAATCACAAAATAAGAACAAGTATTTCATAATT